GGGAGGGGATTCAGAGGTGGGAAACAGAAGACCGGATATGTTGCAGCTGGCACTCTCGGAGTGAAAAGCAACAAAGACGACCGAACTTCAGCTGGCTTGCAGGATGGCTGGATCGAATAAGGACCGGTAGAAACTGTTTGGATGGGCTTCGTTACAGCATGTCCACATCAATGACCGAAGGAACAAAGGAATCTCTGGTGTCGACACCGTTAAAAGCCCACGAGGGCTCATGCTGTCAGATATTTGTGTTCTCGATCTTTCGCGAGGTCGGACGAAAGAGGGCTTTCAATCCTTAGAGAACGCACCACGCGGCTCCGAGGCGTCTCAAGGACGAGGGCTTCCAAAATGTGGTCGACATAGGCGCAGGCCATGGCCGCACTGCTGCCTGGCTCACCAACGCCTGGGGCTTCCAGGCGAAATGTTGAAATGCCCAGTAGATCATCCCGCTGACGACTTCCGCACCTTAACACTTGTGCCGAGAAGGTCCGGGCTTTCGACGTTATTTTACCCGAAAGCCCGGAGTTCAATGTGGAGATGTTCGATGGTCGACAGCTTCCGTTGGAGAGCAAGAGTGTTGACTGTGCTTTGGCGTGGTTGGCTTGACTATACTTGTATATCATCATGGTGCGAGCATGCAAGAACCAGCTCTGGGTGAAGTTCTCTTTGCCTTTGCTGTTCTCAGGTGCTCTTTTCTCATTCGTGCTCCATCATTGCCGGCACTTCGAACTGCAGAGGGCCCTGCTTCAGGAGGCGAGGACCGTGCATGAATCCAGCGGCTGGCAATGACAGCTCTTGCGGAGGCGGCGCGCGTGTCCAGAAGCTGGATAGCCGTCTGTGAAGACACCCCAGAGGAACCCATCCACTGGAAGGGAACTCGAGGCGTCACGGTTACATGGGTTCCGGACAGTGCATGTCGCAAACAAATGTCGTTGTTTTTGGCAGGACACGACCATCTGGGCCAGTTTAACTCAGCCACTGACTGGATGAAGATGTTCAACAAGATAGGACTCAAGCTATTGCGCCGGGGACAACTCTGGCAAGGTCCTCGGAAAGGTCCAAGCCCTTACTTCTGCGCAAGATCCTTCTTCATTCTCGAGGCTCGTTCTCTTTCGAGTGACCTTTTGCGATGCAAGCGCTATCAACCGTGTCGTCAGGTGCCTGCTGACCTTTGTGCCGCCCCTGGATTTTAGCTGACCTTCTACCATGTTCACGGAGGGCATTAGCGTAGAATCGATGGTGTGGTTTCCGCATGTCCTAGGGACTCAGGTCCGCTGCCAGCGACAGGGCCAGTCGGTCTTTCTGGATGCGGCTGCTTGCCCGCGAGAGGGGCAACTCCACAGCAGAGGGAACTGACAGATGATGAGCGTCAAGGACTTGTTGGGGCCGTGCGTGCTTGTTGTGGAGGAGTGTTGCGTGACGGTTCGCATGGCTAAGCCATGTCCCTCGCCGTGGGCTGGAGCGAAAGCTAGTTGTAGGCTCCAGTCGGTTGCAGTGGCATGTTTTTTTTTGTAGGTGCGACGAGCAATTTACCAATGTCGTTTTCGAAAGGTTCGAGCATCGTGTGATTCTCGCAGGAACATGCCACCCGAAACCCTAAGTCCTAAGTCCTCAACATCCCTAGACCTTGAACCCAAACATTAAGCTGTAAACCTTAAC